CTCTCGAATACTCAATCGAGGAGTATATCCAATTCATCGAGGGTAGTTATTAATAACGAGACGCGTTCATTAATAAAACTTACTACCGAGTTAATATAGAACACGCGCCGTATATTTACTCGATAGTAGCAATGAAATCAAGATGAAAACGATTGAGATTGATAACCTCAACACAAGCGGTTTATTGGTTTAATCAATATAATTAATTCCCCTTGGCTTATTAACCATGAGACGCATGCGTTAACAACCCAAGTTTACTACCGTGAAGGGACCGAGTTAATAACAGGCGTATTAATCGACCGATTCTAGTATTAATTAATATATGAAACAAAACTAGTTGATCCTTTAAGTATTGCTCAAAATATTAATATGTAATAGGAATAAGAATTAATTAATATTCAAGGAAGAAGATTAAAGAAAATAACTCACAACTTACAATTCATTAAGCTTCAAAGTAGCAAAACCAAGATGGAAGAGTTTAGCTCCTCATTTGGAGACTAAACATGATGAAAAATATAAAGAAAGAACTTGTCTAAACTGAGCTAAGAAGTATATGTGAATTGGTGATTTATTGTGGAGGAAATGGGGTGTATTTATAGGCTTTTTAGGCCTGCAGGGTTGTGTACCCGATCGGGCTTTCAGCTCACTCGATCGGGTATAAAAGGTGGCTTCTTCGAAGCTGAAAAAGGGGTCGTACCCGATCGGGTCTGTCGGTCACCCGATCGGGTATGGACACCCGAACGTGTTAAAAATCCTCCCGCATGATGCCTTGTTCCCGGATTTGATTTGATTCGAAATTTCAGAAGGGTACCCGACCGGGTATAGGTCATACCCGACCGGGTACAGACCAAAAACGAGATCTTCAATTTTTTTCTTGCATTCTTGCACCTTCCTTGCACTTGTGATGTTCACCAATGGTCTCCAAAGTGTACTTGGACCTGTTTGAGCTCAGAATAAACCTAATCTAAACATATTACAAATATTTTACAAACTAAACTATTTACACCAAAAGTGTGTAATTTCCTAAGTAACAATCACTCGAAACTAATTAAAAACACAAATTTAAATATGGAAATTACATGAATGTCAGGTATAGAGAAGACGATCGGTAATGTTACACGGTTCTTCGACTGAAAATGACAAAAATGATCTATCTCTAACTATTGGTAGAATTTCTTCAGGTGTTCTACGTTCCAGATTCCAGCATGATTTCCTTCCAAGGTGTGGAGGACGAACGTGCCCTGGTTGTATCTTCTGAAGACCCTATAAGGTCCTTCCCAATTTTTGGCCATCTTGCCACCCTCGAGTGGTTTGCTCTTCTCCCTTTTCCGGAGTACGAGGTCCCCGGCTTCGATTTCGCGGATCTTCACCGCCTTATTGAAGTACCTTTGGGTGGCTCAGTGATATTCTTCCATGCGACGAGCTACTAGGTCCCTCCGTTCCTCGATGAAGTGGAGCTCCGCTCGTAGAGTAGCCTCATTGTCCTCTGGTTGGAAATGTTTTGTGCGGTGTGTGGGCACCAGCACCTCCGTTGGCACTTTAGCTTGAAATTCGTAAGCCAAGGCAAAAGGAGTCTCGCTGGTTGCCGTCCTCGGGGTTGTCCTGTACGTCCACAGAACGTAATTCAGCTGCTCCGGCCAGGTGGATGTATAGTCTTCTAACTTCTTTTTAATCCCGTCCATGATGGTCCGGTTCATATTCTCCACCTGGTCATTGGCCTGCGGGTATGCCACCGAGGCTTTGGAGTGTCTGATCCCCCACTTGGCCAAGTATGCGTCGAATTCCCGCCCGACGAACTGCCGGCCATTGTCCGTGATGACTTGCTCTGGGATTCCGAAGCGGCATATGACATTCTGCCAGACGAACCTCTGGCATTGGTATTCGGTGATAGAGGCCAGTGGTTTGGCCTCTACCCACTTCGTGAAGTAGTCAATTGCCACAATGACAAATTTTCTTCCTCCTGTCGCCGTTGGTAGAGGACCTAGTAGGTCTATGCCCCATCTAGCAAAGGGTAGTGCGATCGTCATTGGGGTGTAGAAGCTTGCCGGCCGGCCGGGGATAGGGGCGTACTGCTGGCATACTGCACACTTCCGAGTATGGTTGAAGCAATCTTGCTGGATGGTCGGCCAGTAGTAGCCCTGCAAAATGATCTTCCGGGCCAAGGTGCGGGGGCCCTGATGGCTTGAGCAGATGCCCTCATGAATTTCCTCTATGACTGCAGCCGCTAAGCTCGGCGGGAGGCATCTTAGGTACGGCCCGCCGAACGTCTTCTTGTAGAGCTGCCCGTCAATCAGCTCAAAATTGGGGGCACACCTCTTCACCCAAGCTGCCCTCCCCGTGTTGCCATCATCTTCGGGTTCAGGGAGCGTCCCATCCCTGAGGTAGTCCGCGATCTCCTTCAACCAATTGGGCTCCGCGATGGAGATGGCTTCTACCTGAATGACGTCCGTCGCTGGTGCTGGGAGCGTCTCCTGTCTGACGAAACCCCTGATGTGGCGGGGTATGCTCGTCGCAGGGTCATCGGTCGGGGGATTGCCTAGCTTAGATAATATATCGGCCTCGGCGTTCTCCACCCGTGATACCTGCTCGATTATCACCTGCTCGAACTGCGCGGTTTGCTCCTCCGCGAGTTCCTTGTAGACCTTCATCCTTTCTTCTCTGGTTTCGGCTGTCCCATTCATTTGGGTTACAACCAGTTGGCTGTCCATCCTCACCTTCAAACGAGCTGCTCCGAGTGCTCTCGCGCATTTCAGTCCCGCGATAAGTGCCTCGTACTCAGCCTCGTTGTTGGTGACTCTGAACTCGAACTTCATGGAGTAATAGGCTTTGAAGCCCTCGGGGGAAGTAATTATCGCTCCTCCGCCACAACCCCGCGCACTCGAGGCCCCATCGGTGTACATCTCCCACAAGTTGTTGAAATCATTGTCGTCTTGGGGTTCGTCCTCGATGCGCGCAGTGCATTCGGCAATGAAATCTGCCAATGCCTGTCCCTTGATCGTCGGCCTTGGTTTGAACTCCACATTGTACTGGCCGATCATTAGCTGGGGAGGTGAGTCGCTCCTGGTGATATTGCAAAGGGTATTGGGCCGTTCGTCCCCTGGCCCTTGGGGGATTTGCCATGTGGACTGGATTGCCTCCAGTGGTTATGGGCTTGCTCTGACGACGTTCGTCGTCATTCATGTGGCCTGTGGGCCTGTTTCCTGTCAACTGGGTAGATGTTCGTCGCATGGCTGTAAGCCCAGGCTTTGGTGACGACGTTCGTCCCTTCCAAGTTGCCTGCTAGCTCAGCCTACTGGTTTGTCAGACGTACGTCCGGGTAATGGGCCAAACTATTACTTGGGCCATTAACCCAACAACTGCCAAGAAGTTTTATTTGACAGTATTGATTACCTTTAATACTTAAATGCTTCTTTCATTTCAATTTTTTGTTTAGACATAGTTTTTATATATAAAGGCAATCTGAACTGTTTGTATGGAGGAGGGAAAGTTTGTTTGATTTGTTCAGGTTTTTTATGCTTGTAAAGTTTTAATTATGTCTATACTCGAACTTGTTGCTCGAGTAGTAAGTAGTACATGTCAAAATGTCAAAGAAAAAGAGAGGATTGAGTAATTTTCATAAATCTTCTAATCTAGGTTACTGACATCTCAATGCACCTTTGGTTTAATGAAAATTCATATACAAGCTTAAGAGCTTCACAACCAGCAAAATATTAACCCCTCATTTGGAACAAGCCCAGTACTCCTTGTGTCCCTACTCCCTAACTGAATTATCAACCAACCCATCTTTTTCGTCCGTCTTAAAATTATCTTCAATTTCTTTTTTTGGGCGAAAAATATGTGGTTCATAACAATTCTTACTCGTTTCTCTTTCCTCCACACAACTCTACATCATACAATTTCCACTTTCTCAATCCCATGCCAAACGTGCTTTGGAAGATAGTTTAGAGATGGAGAAAGCATAAATTTTAATACCATACACCAATAACCAAGCAACGATCGACATATAATGGGAGGGGAGTATATAGCTAGAGCCTATCCTAAAGGGACAAGCCAGATAAAATAAAAAACTCAACACAATCTAATTTAGCTAACGAACTAATTAATTCAAACTTTAAATCATAATTTGATAAGCTTAAACATAATCTTTCGGCAGAACAACAAAGTTCTGAACCAAAACTTAATTGTGGAATATTCAAACTAATACACATTTAATTAGGATTTAGGCAAATCCCCAGGTGTATCTATAATTATTCCTAATTTGACTATAAATAGACATGAATCTCACCTTGGAAACTTGGAGTGGACGCTTAAAGGTAATGAAATTATTGGAATCTGATCTAGAAGACTTGACGTCTGTGCTCAGACGAGAAGAATTCAAGAAGCAAGTTCAACTCCATAGTTGAAGACTTTTGGTCACTCGCGACCTCACATAATTTAACTCCTTCACAGTTAAAATAACACAAAGTTATATTTTAAGAGCCCGTTTGGAGAACTCGGCTTATCAGGCTTATCAGCCAGCTTTTTCACCAAACACGTAACTTATACTTTCGCGCGCTGAATTGTGTAATAAGCCGAAAAAGTAAGGTTGGAGTTACTTTTCTGGCTGTATTGGCTGAAGTTACTGTAGAGGACCATTTTAGCTATTTTTACATATAATTTTTTCTTTAATTTATTAATAAAATATATTTTTAAAATATTTTTTTCTTAAATCAGCAGAATCAGCCAAAACAGCCACTCCAGCCAGAATATCATAAATTTCAGCAGAATCAGCCAAAACAGCCGATTTTGGTGCTACCAAACGGGCTCTAAATTTTTTAATTTTATTACAGATATTGTCTCGAACTGAAATGGGATTTTTATAATCGATCCTATTTCTAATATTAGTTCTTATAGTCCTAAATTTTGTTGGGAAACACGACCTCATCCTCTTTTAGGATCAGGAGCTTATATAATTCTTGTGCACTCTCATAGATTCATGACACAAAGACTCAAGCTAATAAATCACTTTGTACTATACAATCAAATGTAAGAGATATATTTTACAAGTAAACATGTAGTTCATTTCACTCAATGAGTTTATCAATCTATAACCTAACTACTTCCTCCGTTCTTAAATAAGTGCAACACTTTCCTTTTTCGGCAGTTTCAAAATAAATGCAACCTTTCCATTTTGGGAAGGAAATACAAGGCAAATGGCTTTTATACCCTTAATGAATTACCGCCCTTAGTCTTCCTTTTTCTGACATTTTCTTTAATTTTATTTAATTTCTCCACCCACCACCATCCACCGATTCCAGTCCTCTTTACAACCCCTTCCATTTCCATCGTTATCTCATCTTCCCTTCTGCGATTCCTCACACCATTTCTCTGTTTCTTCCCCAACATCTCCACAATATGTTTTCTTTGATTATTTTTGAGGTTTGGCTTCTTTGTGCTTGTTGCTGTAAAACTGTGAGAACCAGAATTTATTTCTGATTCTTCTTCCTCTTCACTTTCAGCTGCAGAAAAAAAAGATGAGAAAACTTCATCATCTGGGTCGAAATCATCATCATCAGATACACCTCCACCCTCTAGTTGAAGAAGTTCTTCCACAGAAATGTCCTCCTCCATTCTTGATGTCTGGCAGTGCTCTTTTGTGTTTTTTCGCTGTCAAGACTGCAAGTTTTATTTTGTTATCTTGTGGCCGTAAATGGAGTGGAGGCAAATTTTGTTAGTATGAATATAAATAGTCTGATGGTAGATGGAGATGGAGGGAATTTTTTTGGATTTTTTGATATTCCCTCGCAAGTTGAATGAATGATTGAGCAAGTGGGTACTATTATTTTGCTTGGCTGTTAGCTTGCTTGGTTGTAAAACGTTTGTCCACTATTGAGTACTGTAGGTATTACTTTATCACATCATTTCATCTATCCGTATGGTGAAGGGTAAAACAGACTAAATTAACACTTTTTTGTTGCTTCTTAAAAACTGTGCCCAAGTGCATGTTGCACTTAAAACCGAACGGAGGTAGTACTTTTTAGACTTTTGTATGACTAAAAGTCCAAAAAAAGGAATTTCGTTTATTTTTAAAGGTTGAATGACGAAAATGCCCTTACTTAAAATATGTGCATTTTGTACTAATTTCGTTCAATTAAACTTACAGCATTTTATATTACCGTTAATGCACTACATTAATGCACGGCTTTACTGCACTTCCGGTAATAATCATTGCACTTCTGTCGAAATTAATTATCTTCTCATTCATTTTGAGGATTTTTTTGTTTTGGATTTAATAATTTCATTATTTTACGTTTAATTAAGTATATTGCTTTTCATGGTGGCATTACTGCTCTGTGTTACTGCACTACTTGTCATAATCATTGCACTTCCCGTCAATACATTCATTTATTGCCCATATACAACACTATCTATTGATATGTTTATTGTCCATATTAAACACTATCTACTGCAATGTTCACTGCCAATATTCGAAGTCCAAAAACCCTAATTTCAAAAAATACAAAAAGAGAATGAACATAATCAAGTCATAAATTCTTAATTGTTAAATGCAATGCACTCCGTTTGCCCAAAAAAATGTGCTGCACTCCGTAATTGTTGCAAATTATGTACTGCACTCATGTCAAAGTAATGCACACAAATTATAAGACGTTCCAATGTTGGATATTCATATATATATCAACAAAACTCCGTATGCAATATATATATAAATATATAATAGCTAAATCCATATAAATCCATGAAATCAAAAACATGTATGAACTAAAATTAGAACCATACCTTGAGAATTCATTTGCATTATCACTTTAAGAAGACCCAAGAATCCAAGAAAGCTAGTAGGCTAAACCTTCCAATGCTATGTAGCTTATGAGAGATGTTCTAATCCTATAATAGATGAGATATATATAGGACTAGCTAGTTCAATATTGTAACGGTTGGCCCCTTCAATTCTAATAATAATTCCATAATTATTAATATAATAATGATATTATTTAGAATAATTTATTAGGCCATTTTTTTCGTTACAATATTCATACTGTTATCTCTTAGTTTACACGCATCGGGGGTCATAACCGTTGTATCACTTTAGTGTAATATATTTAATTTGACCCGTCACCAAAAGAAATATATTATCCTGGTATCTACACTTTTATTATTTCATGAATAGCCACTTTATTTTATTATTTATCTGATGGTAAACACATTTTAATTAATTACATATTAGGCCCCTTTTATTGTTTTCCAACAATCTCCCACTGGGCCTTATATGTAATTCTTAATAAAATGTGTTATCTTTATGAGCTCAAAAATTACCATCATATAAAATAACATCCTTAAACAATCTGGTCCATCAGTCATACTAATATAGAACCATTGCAGCATTTTGTCATGTTAAACATAACCATACCACCAATGACTACTAATATCAATATAACATAATGACATAGATCAATCATGAAATGTGTAGCATGAAAATTACATGAAATGTGGCATGAACATGTAAATTTTCAACTGACCCTTCGTTAATAAACTTTAAACTTTAATGACTTAATTGTTCAGAATACACCAAATGTCAAACTTTATTCTGATCAGAAAATAAATTCATAAAGCAATAGAACATCAGGCATAACTTATAAACTCCCATTAAACTTGAGGTTCCTTAAAATCAATGACTCCCAAGTGAGCAGTATGCTCATGAAAAACTTTTGGTGGGAGACCCTTGGTTAAAGGATCCGCTAGCATGGGGTTTGTACTTATATGTTCAATAACGACCCTTTTATTCTGAACCCTTTCTTTAATAGCTCGATATTTCACTTCAATGTGTTTTGTCTTGTTCGAGCTCTTGTTGTTGTTAGAGTAAAGCACCGTAGAATTGTTGTCACAAAATATCTTGATAGGCTTCGAAACATCATTTAATATTTTCAGCCCATCAATAAAATTGCGCATCCATATTCCATGGTTTGAAGCTTCAAAACAGGCCAACAACTCTGCCTCCATAGTTGAGGTAGCTATCATATCTTGCTTAACACTTTTTCAAGATACAGCACCACACGCTAGTAGATAAACATAGCCTGAAGTAGATCTACTAGTGTCTTTGCAACCGGCAAAATCAGAGTCGGAGTATCCAACGACCTCCAAAAGATCTGATTTTCTATATGTAAGCATATAGTCCCTTGTTCTCTTTAAGTATCTCATAACTCTTTTGGCCGCCACCCAATGAGCCATTCCTGGATTACTGAGATATCTGCCTAGCATCCCAACAATGTACGCAATATCCGGACGCGTACAAACTTGGGCATACATAAGACTTCCTACAACAGATGCGTAGGGAATCTTTTTCATTTCTTGAATTTCCAAATTTGTTTTAGGGCACTGATCGAGACTAAACTTGTCTCCTTTAGAGATAGGGGTATCACACGGTCTACAATCTTCCATGCCAAATCTTTTAAGGACCTTATCGACATAGTTCCTTTGTGATAACCTTAAGATTCCTTGTGATCTCTCACGAAGGATTTCAATTCCTAATACAAAGGAGGCTTCACCAAGATCTTTCATTTCAAAATGTTTTGATAGAAATCTCTTGGTTTCATGCAACATGCCTATGTCATTAGTGGCAAGAAGAATGTCATCAACATATAAGACCAGGAAAATTATTTTACTCCCACTGAACTTATGATATACACAATCATCTACATCATTCATCTTAAAACCGAAGGATAAAATGACTTGATGAAATTTGTGATACCATTGACGAGAAGCCTATTTTAGCCCATAGATGGATTTTGTTAATTTGCAAACCATTTGTTTTGGATCTCTAATCACAAAATTTTCTGGTTACACCATATAAATAGTTTCATCAATGTCACCATTGAGAAACGCCGTCTTAACATCCATCTGATGAAGCTCTAAATGAAAATGTGCAACTAAAGCCATAATGATTCTAAAAGAGTCCTTTGATGAAACCGGAGAAAAGGTCTCCTTATAATCTATTCCTTCTTTTTGAGTATAACCTTTAGCTACAAGACGAGCTTTATATCTCTCCACATTACCCTTTGAATCCCTTTTGGTTTTAAATATCCATTTACAACCAATGGGTTTACAACCTTCGGGTAATGGGACGAGTTCCCAAACTTTATTGTCTTGCATAGATTTATACTCCTCATTCATTGCCACAATCCACTTTTGAGAATTTGAACTTTTCATGGCTTGACGGAAGTTGATTGGATCATCTTCCATAACACCACTTTCTTCCTCATGTTCTTGAATAAACACAAGGACATCGTTCTCTGTATCCATGACGCATGTTCTTGGAGATATACAACATAATCATCCGGAATCGCGTATCTCCTCTCTCTAGTGGATCGCCGCAATGACACATTTTCTTGTTGCACTTGCTCTAGAGGAAGTTGAGTTTGTTCATTTTGAACAATTTCTTCAGTTTGGAAAGGAGATGATGAAATAATGCCTTGTTGAGTTTCCTCATTAGTTTCAAAAGAAACATCCGTATGAATTGGTTCAGGTATTGAAATCAATTCTTCCTCAAAGACAATATCCCTAACTTTATTCTCCCCCCCAAACTCAACATCCTCGAAAAATATGGCAGTTCCCGTCTCAAAAATATTTTTATCCTCGGGATTATAAAATTTATATCCCCTAGATCGCTCCGAGTAACCAATAAAGTAACTACTAACTGTTTTGGGTTCCAGTTTCTTTTCATGTGGCCTATACGGCTTTGCCTCAGCTGGACAACCCCAAATATGAAAATGCTTTAAACTAGGCTTTTTACCCGTCCAAAGCTCATAAGGTGTTTTAGTAGTTGCTTTAGTTGGAACTCGATTAAGAATGTAAGCTGCGGTCTAAGAATGTAAGTTGCGGTCTTTAATGCCTCACCCCAGAGGGATTCCGGTAAGATAGAATGAGAAATCATACTTCTTACCATTTCTTTAAGGGTTCTATTACGTCTCTCGGCTACACCATTCATGCTAGGTGAACCCGGCATGGTGTATTGAGGGACAATCCCACATTCCTCTAGAAATTTGGCAAAAGGCCCTGGACGTTGTTCACCTGAGCCGTCATACCTCCCATAGTATTCACCACCACGATCGGATTTGACTTTCTTTATGCGTTTGTTGAGTTGATTCTCAACTTCCGCTTTGTAAGATTTAAACACGTCCAAGACTTGAGATTTTTCATGTATAAGAAATAAGTATGCATATCTAGAGTAATCGTCTATGAATGACACAAAATATTGTTGACCATTCCATGAAGAAGTAGGAAATGGCCCACAAATATCCGTGTGTATTAATTCTAAGACATTCGTAGCTCTATATGCACCTTTTTTCTTATTTTTGGTTTGTTTCCCTTTAATGCACTCAATACAAGTATTGAAATCAGAAAAATCAATGGAATTAAGTGTTCCATCGGACACAAGACGTTCAACTCTATTTTTAGAGATGTGACCTAATCGTTTGTGCCATAAAAAACCAGATTGTGCATTATCAGCCTTTCGCTTAGTGCCTCGGGTGTCAACATTCAAAGCATTATTATATGAAGTTATTGTTTCAAGCATGTAAAGATTGTCATATGACATAAAAGAACCAGTCCCCACAATATTTGAATTTAAAGACAAATTAAACCGGAAGTTTCCAAAGGAACAATGATAACCTAATTTGTCCAAATAAGAAACAG